GCTTTTAAATACCCATCCTCCCCACCTGCTAAATTCTCCTCTTCAGTTTGGCATCTCCCTCTCTTATACGGTTCACAATTCACATCACAAATCTCCATAATCTCTGCTCTGTACTCTGTTATTTTGTTTTTCTTCTCCTTTTTACTTGATTTCTGTCTCGAGCTATACCGGACTGTTTTTGAACACAGAGAAATGGAAATTCCGGTGATTAATAGGATAAGCGATTTCGAGGTGGGGATTAACTCTTTACCTAACCCTTCTTTGGTTTCCCAGCTTTTTGCTCTTTCTGGGATCAAAGAAATCTACCAAGCTTACAATTTTTGGAAATGGGGCGCTTTGATTCTTGCCCTGCTCGCCTCCTTCACCCCCATTATCAACAGAATCAAGATTTTGATCATGAGATTAAAACGCCACCGCTATCCTCCGTCGCCGCCGCTCCTCGAGGACAGCGATTTTGACACTGATACAGACACCTCCTATTATTCATCTTCGGATGATGAACAGGAACAGGATTCACCATCCACATCCCGTGACTGGCGACGGGTCGATGAAAATTTTCAGGTGAGAGGCTCAGCTCACGTCATTGAGGACCAGGGCAAAAAATGTCATTTTACTCTTCGGCGGCGGCGTGGTAGTATCGGGGACCTGTTTTCATTGTCCGAGCTCGTTGCCGGTGGCAAGAGCGTCGTGAAGTTATGGGATAACCTTGGATTGGGGTTTGGATTAGGCTTCGACGACGACGGCGATGATACCAATGGTTTTAATCTTTACGATATTAACGAGCAGAGAACAATCGCGTGGTTTCTCGGCAATAAATGTGGGGTCCAGGCGGTTTCAAAGTCATCAACCCCGGCGGTTGTCGTGTCAGCGGTTGCCGATTTGTCCGGTCTCGTCTCGCTGAGCGCCTGGGACACACGCCTCCCACCTCGGGCACCAGCCATCCTTGCGGAGTGGCAGCCCAAAAACCCGGCGGAGAAAATCGCAGCAGTCAATGCCGGAGGCAGGGAGAAGGTATACGTCAGGGATGACATCACCGGAGAGTTAACCGTCGGGGACATGAGGAAGGTGAGGTCCCCGTTAGCAAGCGTGACGGAATCTGACCTGGACACTTGGAGGGATGCCGACGTGGCGATCGTTTCGGACGACACGATGTAACGAGTCAGTGACAGGACTCGGTCAACACGGTTATAAGATTGTAAGCTGTAAAGTTGAAATGGGCAAAATGGTCATATTGTGAGAAATGTGACCGAAGAAGGGTTTTGTAAATATCAATTATTTTAATGCTTGTTGAAACTACATTCAACAATTTTATTTTGCATAATTTTCATTTATATTGTTAATTTACGAAGTTCAATTATGAAGGAATTACTAATTTAAATATATTGAGTAAGTAATTATTATTTTATAAATTATAAATTTAAGTTTTAAAATTAATGTTTAATTAAATTATGTAAATCTTTTATTATATTAGAACAGCATGAGAGTATGCTTTTTAAATTATTAAATGACACCTTAATCGAAAAAAGAAAAGAAAAGAAAAGAAAAAGCAAAACAATTTCATCAACAAGACACTAGATCCATCTAAATTTATGTTGCAAGGCTTGTGATTTATTTATATATCAAATGGATTAAGTTTTTTCAAACTCAAATGGCAAAAAAAAAAAAAAAATTGAATTATCAAAATGCTAAATACTCTTAATAAATCAAATATAAAAAGGATTTATTTAAAGTATATATATTTCAAATGCTTGCACTTGTATAGTTTAAATTAAAAAATATATATTTTTCTTACTAATAACTTGTTGATTCGAATGAAAGAAATTTAGTTTCTTTTAAATAAAATTTTAAATTTGACTCTTATAAATGGAGAAATATGTACCAAGAGAGCATCCCTAATGAGATTTAACGTAATTTAATTTTGAATTAATCGAGATCTAATATGATTATTTGATACCAAAAAGTTAATAAAAAAACATATATTCTTCTTTATCAAAACTCGTTGTTTCTCTCGTAAAATTAATTTTTGATTTTGAGGGATTGCAATGAATTAGCAAGGAAATTGGAAGTGATTAATTATTATTTTAATCCACGTGTGAAGATGAATTTGATTAAGTTTTGGTTAATCTTTCTAGTAATCCAGGTCAGAAAATTCTCCCACGCCTCGTAAAGGAATGTTCCAAGTAGTTTGCTGTTGTTGAATTGAAAGAGCGAGCTCCAAAGTTTCGTACTTTTGAAACAAAAGCAGGTCTTATCCAGAATGAAACAAAAGTCAATAGAGGTACTCAAGTTGCACGTGATCGGAGCATGAATATCACAGGTTAAAATTGGTTTCTTCTTTCAAATTTGAAACGGGTTCGTGTAACCTTTTGCCTTCAGGAATAAGATAGGAATACAGTAGATATACTTTTTATAATTAATTTTTATTAAAAATATAAATATAAATATAAATTTAATTAATTAATTAAAATTATTTAATATCAAATAATATTAAAAAATATATTAATTTTTACAATTTTTTATATAAATTAATTAAAAATATATATTTATCGCACTTTTAATTTATAATTTGTAATAACATGGGACAAAGCATTTGAAATTTATTACAATTTTTAACGATGGGGTCACATATGGCATGCCTTAGACAGTCATTTTATTGCTTTTGTACGTTTTACTCTTATATTTCATGACAACAAAATTTTATCATATTAGCTAAAAAGAGTGGTTCACTAGTTATAAAAATGAATTTAGAAAAAAAATATTATTTTTTTATATATATCATTATTATTAGATGTATAAAAAAAAAATTTATTATCTCAAAACTTAAATCTATCAATGACCTATTAATCAAAGTGAAAAAAGTTTGGTTCTCCTTAAATAAAGTTCAAATCTTATGGATAGAAAAACAGTTGTTGAGAGAGTTTTCTCTCTGATGGAATCCGACGTAACTCAATTCTAAATTCTTAATAAGATCCGACGCGATTCGATTCTAAATTAATCGAGATCAAATGTGGTTACTAGATATTATGAGGTTAATACAAAAAAAAATCTCAAAACTTAAATCTTGATACATTTATTTATAAATAAATTTAACATTTAAAATCATTGTTATGTTGTGTTTATCTTATTTAAATT